ACGGGGAAGTGCACGAATTACTGAGTTGTGTGTATAACGACTGGAGTATTCTGATTTGGATATCGAATGAATAAGAAAAGACCAGTGGACCCAATACACGGAGGATTTCCCCCAATGAACATGCAGCAAATCAATTGAATATATGCAAAAAAGAGGGTAGAAGATATCAAATGGATATTTAAACTCATAAGTCAAAGACAAACTGACAAAACCATGTTAAATATATTAAAAAAATAAACTCATCTTCAATAACATCATGAGATAAAATCTTCTGTGACCTATCTACTGGCTTGTTTTTATGTCGCTCGGAAAGGTATATGTATATCAACAATGAAAATGATGTATGAGCGTGACAGGTGTTTTTAATTCAGCCATGCTGGGTCTATGTGATCACTCCGAATTTGGAGATGGTGTACAATTCTAAGTTGAAGATATATCATGAAACAATTATGTGTTTTTATGACTTGCAGAGACTTAATACACCATTTTAATCATCTATTGCCAGCTTTTGACTTGTTATTTGCTCTCAAATTAAGAAAAGATTGGACGAACAGCTACTTTATTTTAGATGAACAATGGCATATAGTTCCTTTGTAAAACAGCATTTATAATAAATTGCTATATACTTATTAATGTAAAAAAAGTAATACATCGAATTTGAGCAGTTGATGAGAATTGTGAAAGTATTTTATCAGTATCTTATGTTAAGGAGTTGATTTTTTTGGGAAAATGTATTATCCTGGCTTTTAAAAGTAGAGACAGTATAAAACAGTCTCTGTCTACATGTTTTATTGCAATTATACCTGTTATTTCTTGTTTACACCGATGAGCTGTAAAGCTTAAGGCAATAAAGTAACATTACGCTTGTGTAAGTAATTGAATAAAATTTGGTACAAGATGTGTATTGATATCAAAGTTGTTTCCCACACTTTTTTGAAATGCTATTATTCCAATTCTTTTCTGAGGCAAATAATAGTACTGATACAATACAGTATGATAGACAACTTTCATCATTTACAAATAACTTCACTCAAAGGTGGGAGTATAAATTGGAATCGCCTCCACTTTAATGTCAATCTCAATTGACCACAGTTTATAGCTCTAGTATTACATAATTGGATACACATTAATATTGACCTCAAGAGTAGACCTATAATCACTTTTAATCTACACTACATACATTTATTCTGTAAATAATTTCTCAGAGATGAATGATTATTTAAGGATAGGAAAGATGCATGTTTTTATGAAGAAAAGACAAAATACAAAATATGTATGAAAACAATGCAAGCAGGGTCTATTTTACTTGTAAAATAAGTGTTATAATCATCTGATATTAGTCAATAATATACGTATATTTAATTTACAATAATCATTAATGAGCTTGAAACAATAAACACAATTGCATAACTCTAACCTGTGGAGTTTCGGCAATCATTTATATTTGATAAATCCCCATTATATGGCTATTTAACAGTATACGGTATTGTACATGTATATTTGAATACATGAAATTATTTTTTCTCGAAGAAGAATGAACACCAATTTAAATGAAAATTAGTCATTTGATTTTTTTTGTGGAAAAGGTGCATTTCCAATACCTCTTTTTTGAAACTATTAAATCAAACTTCAATAAAAGATATATTACACAGTCCTTTGAAGATTTCTATTTCCAATCAAACCAAAATTATTTAATTAAAAAAAAAGAAGATATAAGAAATCAGTACTCCTTCTACAAATTGAAATATCAAATGAATTTGTTTCAAATTGAGAAATTCTCCGTCTTTGGGGAAAAAGGAAACAATTGTTTTGGTGAGATTATGGAAATGAAAAAAACAACATTCATCTTCATAATCAGTGTCATATAATTTAAACAAAAATCAAAAATGATCATATGCTGTGTTAGAAAATGGCACAACTATGTCTAAATATTGAAATATTCCTAAAAGCATACAACCATTTACAAGTAAATTTAAGGAGACAAGTTTCAACTGATAAAAAAACAGTTATTTTTCTGAATTTAATGCAAGAGTGATATATCAAGTTGTTTTTGTTCACCACAAGACCTGAAAATATGATTTGAAATCGTGCTCACAACTCTTCCAGTCTTTCCATCAGTAGTTTCGATCGTCATAAATACCCTAAAAGAAGTACATTTTTACTGAGAATTTCATGAACTGAAACGGGCGATTTAAAAAAAATAACGCTGGAAATAATAATGAAAATGATAATGTTCTACATTAAATCCTAGTGTTGTCTGTTTTTTTAAAACATATAATATAAGATTGCCCCTTTAATTTCTTCTCGGTTTAAATACAAATAAACATTTTTAGCACAAATCACTTATCCAAAGTTGTGATGGTTGTCTCTAAATGTCTTACAAGAGCTATTACACATTTTGTTTATTAACAGTGAGATCAGAAAAAAATATAGTCTACCCGATGTAGCTTAACAAATGGCTGAATCACAACACCGACGATGCTTTGATTATGGTAAGTCTAAAATGTCCAGGCTATTTCTTTACAACGTAAATGATGTTTGAGCTTTAATGGGTGTTTTGTTTGGTCAGCCTAAATTCCTTAGGCTTTGTCATAAGTATGTCTTGATGAGGAATGTCAAACATTGCAAAAAACCTATCAGTGCAATAGGATTTGAGTTAAACGTCAAAACCAGATTTAATTTTGTGTTCTTGTTCTTAAAAATTCTCATCACTTCATTGTGGGCTGCGTTTTTATGGTACTCTAGTAACTTTTTTTTTTGTTTTTTGTTTTAATTTTGGAGAACTCCTAATAATGAATGTATCTCCTTCGTGTAGAACTCTGATTCTATTTCAGAGGGGCATATAATGGCAGATATCAGCCTGGTACATTTTCATAATGTCATGACTGTCAGTTGCTTTTTAATAACAGTCAGGGGTATGACTTACCCAAATAATTTCATTATCACCTGTTTAAGAGAGTTGAACATTTCAGTAATCAACTATTTTAGTGATTTGAAAATTTCAGTAATCATCTATTTAAGTGATTTTGATGTATCCATTGTCTACATAGATCAATTATCCCTTTCATATGTATATTTTTTTCAGCAATGCACTAAGGCAATAAGTTAGTGCTAAAACATTAAAAAGTACCCTTGGGGATTTTTCTGTAATCAAATATGCATTAATTACTTTAACAACGTGACAGAAAAAAAAACAATATGAGGGGGTTGGAAGGCACTTTTTTATGGCCATCACCCATACAATTGCGTTTTACTTTGCATGCATAATAACACAATTTGAACTTCGTAACCTGCCCCCACCCAAACAATAATAATTCAAGTGCCTTCCAACACCCCACCCCTCTATATTTTTTTCTCATATAGCCCTGACACATAAAAAGACACATTTACCAGTACTGATATATTTATCATAATAAAAGGAGATGATGGAATGTTAATGAAACAGTTCAGACATATCAGAACAGAGCTCAATACCAGTATACGTAATATCATGATTTTATTTGGATGAATTATATCTGTTTTTTGGTTTTTTTACCCAGTTTCTGGTCAAATGTTTTAAAGAACAAAATAGCTGTGTCAAAGATGAATCTCTAAGGAAATGGAGTGAAGATTAAGAAAAAAACAAAATGACTGAACCTACAGAGCCTAGGCCATTAAAACGAACAATATCACCTGATTTACTGAGTCAAGTAGAAGAAATACAGAAAAAAGTACCAAAAACTACACGTAAACAAAATATTTTAAATTGTTTGTACTACTAGTATATATTTTGAAACTATATGCTCAGGCAGGAACCAGTAATCTTTAGAAGAGGGGAGAGGAAGGTCTAAGACTTTTCTCAATAAGTTGTTTAATAATAAGTCCTTTATTTCAATTATTTGAAAAAATTGTTTCAGATGGATTAAAAAGGGTTGTTTTTGTCTAATGGAAACTATTGCAAACATTTTTTAAATTATTTTTACTGATTAAGAACATACATGGGCAATTTTGACTCTGCATAATGCTTGTTCAAATAAATAAAAACATTTATTTATAAAGTTAGACACTAAAACAACATATGAATGTGCTAGTGGAAATTAATATGAATAAAATTAGATTTTTGATATATATCAATTAGACACAGCAAAAATCCAACAACATAGTTTTGACTTACACATTTCAGCAATTAAGGGTCATTTGTCAAATGGTTGTAGTCTAGCCAACCACCAAGATGGCCCTCATTGTTTTTGCCATTGTTAAAACCAGAACATACCATGAATAAAAAACTTAAAAACACAGCTCTTCCAATCTTTCTATCAGTGATTTTGATCCCTTTGATTATTAACAATAGCATTCATCAAAAATGCTTATTCTCTAACAGTTAATCTCTTGGGAGCTAAAGATGTACAAAAGCTAGTTTTCCTTCTTTTTTTTAATGCCTTCAATAAAAAAAGCTACATGTAAACCTGTGACAAATGTGCTTCTAGTGGTTCAAGGAATCAAATTGGTTAATAAAGGTAACAGTAGTATACTTCTGTTCAATAGTCATAATCCGATTAAGCAAAAACAAATCCGGGTACAAGCAAACACCGAGGGAAACACATCAAATATAATAACAAAACAACGGAACAACAGACACACTGAACTACAACAAAAGCAAACGCTAACATACATAGAAACGGTCTATCTGATATCAACTGCAATATTCCTGACTTGGTACAGGGAATTTTAAGAAAAAGTGGTGGGTTTAACCTGGCTAGCCAAAGCTCCCGCTAATATGGCAATGTTAAAAATACCGCTAAAATGACAACACTACATGACAGGAATACAGTATAAAACATCTGAACAGAAATGAACCCTAGAAAACAAAGAGGTTTAATAAAACAATAGGGAAGAATTGCAATAATCAAATATTGATGTTCATGCATTGTGCATGAACATTTTTTTTGTTTTTTGTTTCATCATGCTTATGTCAAGAAATCTCACTTAAGCAGCTGTAGGTTTTTGCTTGTCTAGTTCCAGGTCCATCAGATGATTTAGATGATAGAAAGAAGAGATGGTTAGTTGTCGGGATCTGTCTCCATACAATCATATCTCCCATGCAGAGGACATTTGTTGTGCCCGTTGTTACGAAACTTTGTTATTCACTAACAAACCGGAACAACATTCATAAGCGAACTTATGCAAGTTATCTAAAGAGATATGCTCCTACCAACACAGACCTAAATTATCAAGCTATTAACAGCAACAAAACTAATTATAAAAGGAATAAAGCACAATATGATTACACAGTCAAAAGCTTTTGATGACACCTGTGACTCATCTGCATTGCTTGGAATCATTGTAAACATCGACAGATTCCCAAACGATGTTCAATATGATGCTGAACAGGTAATTAAAAAAATGTATAGGTGTCTTTGTGCTATAAGTTGTCGTGAGTCATGACTCTTTATCTTGTATTTCAAGTCTTGAGCATCATGAAAGTTGCCACTACTAATGGCTAGCCCTTCATTCATGTTTTTTTGTCTTGCTTGTGACAATTGTTGCAGAATGTAATACATAGGGGTTTTAATCAATTAAGCTATTTCTGAAAATCTTTGTTTATGTATCTCAGGAGATTAACGAGATGCATTATCTAAATCTGAATGCAGAAGACTTATGGTCTGAAGTGTCTGTCAGGTATATGTCTGCTGTTCGTGATCTCAATTTAATGGTTCAGTTACTGCTAATATAAGCATCTCTGCCAAGTAGGGGTCACTAGTCATTGACTTCATTTTCTGGTTCAGTGATCAATATTACTTTGATTTTGGTAGGTAGGTTTCTCTTATACTCTTTGCACAGTAAGAACCCTTGCAATGTGACTCTCTAATGGTTCCGTAGGTGGCTTTTGCAAGGCAAAACTACTGCTCTATCCAACATATCCCCATTTCCATTGGCTGTCCAAATTAACCGTCCTTCACATCAGTCTGCCTACTTTGCATGACCTATTTATTGTATTCATCGATAACTTGTTCTCGTCCAGAATATAAAATATATCCAGAATATGCATTTATTATTTACAATGATTTTAATGAGTACATGTCAATTTGACAGATTTGTCTGACCTCAATTTTTTTATAGTTAGTTTTGTTAATGTTAATTTTCTGTAAAATGCCTATTTTTTATGTTTGTAAGGTAAACATGTCCATCTGACATAGTTCAACTGGCCTTGCCCTCATTTTAATGGTTCATTGGTCAACATGTTGTTCTTAAAATTAAGTCTATTTAAGTCCTAGGTCAACTTTATTCCGTATGTAGAAAAAATCTAAAATTAAATGTACATGTTCTATGAACAGAGATCATTTGACCTGGTCCTAATATCAACGGTTCATTAATCCGTGTTTAGTTTTCTGAAATGTGTATTTCCTCAAATATCATGTCAGATTTATTCTGTGTACGCAATTTATGGTCTAGAAAATGATTGCCAAGTGTTCATACCTGTTCATCCAATCCAAACATTTTCTTGAATCACTGTTTTTGTGATACATGTAGTTATACCTTGATCTTAGAGACTTAAACAGGAAATTCACTCATAATTAGAAAAGGAGATGAGACATTTTAACTAATACATCCTTATTATGTTTTGCCCTTTATCAGAACATTATGTCATTGTATTAATGTTTTGTACATGTCTGTTTTAGATACGGTCAAAATACGTAATCCCTGGGCTCATTGTGACTTCAGTAAATGGGATGCTACAAAATATGCAGATTCATTCCAGTTGATGGAACAACTTGTGAAACACCTTCTTCTTAGTAACAGGGAAGAAAATAGAGTCTTGGGAGAACTAAATAAATGGGCAACAAACGGTAATTCTTTTATATGATAGATATACATATATATCCATAAATAATTACTTGTAACATGATAAACAATTGTGGCAACTATATCGCAATGAAATGCTTATAAATTGTCAACATATCAAAGATACTGAAATCGTCAACAAAATTAATATATTGATGTGACCAGAATCAAAGACGTTAAAAATATTTTGGAGGATTCTGCGCTTTTATACACAATGTCCGTCTGTATACTCTTTAACACCTCAATAAAACTATAAAAGAAGCATTTAATATATATTAAGTAGTCAGCACTTCTGTGTTAACATAAATTGTCATTGATATGCTCAGCTCATAATTATAAATTAATTGAGCATTACAAAATATTTGGAAATACTACGGATTTTCTACTAGAAAAACCTTAGTGTCCGATTTTTGCTAAATCTTATAAACACTAAATTACCGACAAAATGATCAAATCAATGTAGATATTTAATTTCAACAAAAAAGGGCTGACTACTGGGCTGGTGATACTCTCATGGACAAAAGGTCCACCGGCAGTGGCGTCGACCCATTGGTTATAAAAACTCATCAAAGTTACCAGGCTTTTAATTTTGTATGCAAGGTGCACATTTCGTCTATAAGACTCATCAGCTGTAATGCTTTTATCAAAATAATTGGAACTCCAAATTAAAGGGTAAAAACCAGACCATGCGGACAATACACAAAAAAAAATATATATTTATACATCAATTATCAACAACTCTTAGCAGCATTATTATCAATTTATGAGTGAGTTTAAAGACAGATTTATTGAAACGCAAAAATCAGGCTTTATTACTGCATTGATCGATGTTTAATTATTTATATCTATATATAAGAAATTGTAGCTTCTTCTAAATATTTTAATTGCAAAAATGAAAACAGGTTAAGGAACTAATCAATATGGGACAACATTCATAAGTTTAATCTGTTTCATTGTAGGTCAGAACTTTCTAAGTGGCAAGACACTGGGTTTAGAGATAGTGGAAGAAATACGTCAACATACTAGTGAATATGTACAGACATTATGTACAGAAACAGACAACCAGTTTATCAGAGTGCAAAAAGAGTTGAGAGAATTAGAAAATGGTTTAAAGAAAGTGTTAGAGAGAATACAAAATTTAGAAAGTGTATGTTAAACATGTGTTATATAGTCTCATCTCACAAATGAAAAATCAGTCTTTGGAACTATCTGTTAGTGCACACTTTTCATTTGTCGAAAAGGGATGCAATATGCAATAATAACTACAGCTAAGAATTTTATTATTTGAATTTAAGGTGGTACCAAACACCTTGACTAAACTTAATTTGGCTCGTTTAATTTTCATAAAATTTTAACAAAATATTTACTTTGACCCTTTGACAAAAATATAAAAATTTCAACAAAACTTGAACCACACACTTTATCGGGAAAATGTCATTGGATATATAGCAGTTTGACAAACACTAATTTTGATCATTGAGAAGCTTAATATTTCCTTAAAAATAGAACGTGATTAAAACGTTCAGCTGATTTTTACAGAGTTATCTCCCTGTAATGTTATGTACCACCTTAAATCTTTCATTTTCTATTTAAACTTAATTTTTGGGGTAAAGATTGCACTCATGAAATCAAAACACTAATGGTACTGGCTTGATGGCTTTAATTTACTAAACCACATCACTCCTTTTGAGAGAATAGAAGTTTAGTGCATTGAAGTGAACTTTCTTTACTTTTATCCATGTACATTTCAAGCAATTTATCAATGAAATATAAAATCAGTTATTCAAGTAACGAAATTATGTGTAATTGTATAACCATACTCTTACTACAATTAAATATCTTTTTTGCACTCAGACATCCATATTGCATACATACTTGTCACAGACCAGGAACCTACTACTAGGGAGGTGTTTAACAACTTTGACTTAATTACCTATGAGGGTATCCCAAGGTCGGTTTCAGGAACCTCATCGTTGGTTGTTCTTTTATCTGTCAAATTTAAAGAGTTTTTCGTCTTTATAAGAATTAAAGATTGTTAATTGGAACCGCATTGGGTACCAAATACAATTAAGTTTAGGTTGAATTGTAAATGTTGAAAGAGGGTGATCCGAAGTTATGAACCTTGTCAGTGGTTTTTGTGTGTTGTATTTTGATAATGTTTGTAATAAAGAGAATTTGGTAGTGATGACAAATCTGGTAAAGAACAATAAAATGGTTTTTTGTGTTGTTAGATTGCTGTCTCATTGTAATATACCCTACATCTCCTGTTATTTATATGATCAAATAGTTTTTTCAGTCATCTTTCCGTTAGTTGTCCCATGATTAAATTAGCTATAAGTATTAATTGGTAATAAACAAAGGCAATATTGCTTCATGGTTAACCTAGCAAACAAGTATGTTGTACTTTATTGTTCTTTTTACACGCTCAAGTATATTTGTTGTAACTACATAATAATATTATTCATATTTTGATGGATGGGGCCCCATTTGAATAAGGTTAAAATTAACCTTGAATACATAAGAATAACAGGAATTGCAAAAATAGTGGACAGTTCAACATACCACACATTCAACCAACATCTAGAAGTAAAAATTTCATTGAATAGAAAAGTTACAATTATAGATTAAGTTTAAAATACCTTCAAAAACAGAAAGAAGATACCAAGCATGCCAAGGAGACATTCAAAACTCATTAGTAGAGATAAACTGACAATACCATGGCAAAAAACTAAGGACAATGAAAAGACAAACCAGTTTACAAAAATAAAACATAGAAAACTGAAGTCTTAGCAACCAACACAAAGAGTGTTAAGGACTGATAGACATATGAAATGTTACATCCTTCTTTTTTTTTTTTAGAAATCTGAGAAGCATCATGAGAAAATAGGTATGTACTTTTTTTTTTTATTAACAGTCCAGTTCAAAATAATATCAAACAGTATTTTTGATGAAAATTCCAAAATCAATTTAAAAAAACCCAGCAAAATGTGAACTTACATGTTAAAAATTCAGCTCATCAGGTCAATCTGTAGAAACAATGGCTCTTATTTATATAAAATTAACAATGTTCTTATCCTTGTATTCATGTTATAATTGCCAGTGGAGGTTAAACACATTGTAGTTGGTCTTTGATATTGTACGTGACTGTTGAAAGGCAACTTCTGTTACTGAAGGGTTGGTGTCTTGGATTATTTTCTCAGTATAAGTTTTACTGATTTAGTGATCAGTCACTGTCAGCCATCACGATCAATCAGTCATTGGACGGATTGCATCAAAAATTAGAGTTTATATATATTTTCAAATTTAATTGATTATGATATTATTAACTGGCATGTTTTATCAACATTTAATAGTTAGAATAGCATGTAATAAGACTGATTTCATTTATGTCCTTGTCTTCCCCTTTTACCATTTGAGCATTGGATCTAACTACTATAATTATATAGATCCAAAATTCAGGGTCCAATCTTTCGTCAAAATAAATGTTTTCAAAAGTCTCGTAAATGCATTAAACAGTTTATCAATAAACTCATCAAAGATACCGGGATTTATATTTTGTACACCATACACCCGATTTGTCTACAAAAGACTCATCAGTGACGCTCGAATAAAAAAATTAAAATGGCCAAAAAAGTGGAAAGTTGATGAGCATTTAGGACCCAAAAACTCCGAAAGGTTTTGTCAAATACAGCAAAGGTAATATATTCCTGGGGTAGAAAATCCTAAATATTTCCAAAAATTCAAAGTTTTATCAACAGTTATTCCATAATTATGACCATATGATATCAATCATAATTCACGTCCACACAGAAGTGTTGTCTACATTCCTTGCATCCAAATCGCTTTTCTTGATTTACATGATTAGGAGCGCTTAAAGCCAAACATTTGAAATTTTAAAGAATTAGCTCTGTTGTGTTTTCGAACGAGAATTATAATTTTTAGAACAGTGGAAAATATTTGAGGCTCTGCTGATCATTTCTATCCTGTTTCTGGCTGAGTATTTATAAAATTTATATTTTTGGACAACTTATAGTTATTCTCTCTATACTGCAACTTTTACAACTGTCCAAAATGAAATATATTTGGTATTTTTGGTAAAAACCATCAATTATTTTGAAGCGGACGATGTAAAAATTCCGCGACCCTGCATTCTTTATGGACGTCATAAATGTCAAAAATGCATTGTTAACTTCATTAATAAGGCTATATAAGGTCAGGGACTGTATACATGTATCACAAATGAATATATAGCCTTATTAAACAATAATTGTGATTTGAAAGAATTAAAATATTATAAAGCATTTTTTAACTATATTATCACAATTCATTTTACAAGTTAGATTCCATTTTTCCATTGAAAATATCCTGGGATCAATTCATATTTCAGTCCCTGAGATATTTTACCATGTATTAAATAATCAACTTATTTTTGTGAAATTATTATATTCTTCAATTTTAGGAACTGATATAAAATAAGGAGATGTGGAATGATTGCCAATTATATAACTATCCAATAGAGTCTAAATGATTGACCAGTAAAAAATCAAACAATTTGGCTACCTGCGACAGGTTTATCCTACATACCCCTGACTATACCATACGGTGACCTATAGTTGTTAACTTTTACATCATTTAGTCTCTGATGAAGAGTTGTCTCATTGGCAATCATACTGCATCTTCTTATTCTTATATAATGATACTCCTTATGTTGTAAATCAACAGTAAACTTTTTATCTTAACTCATACAGCAAACTGAAATTCCATTATGTTCATTGAAATTAATTGACTGTGTCTGTGATAAAAAGGAATAATTTTACCTGTTATATAGTTTCAAGAAATGGTAAATTTTTTATCGTTTCTGATATAGCTGAAATTATGTTATTTTGTTGAAAATGTTCGACTGATAAATACATTGAATACTTTTGCCTCTCTGACTGGAGTTTTGCATATGATATTAAACTTCCACTCTAAAAGTGGGGTCTTTTATTAATTCAACTTGTCCATCCATCTTTCTGTTTGTCAAACACATATTTTCATGACATTTTTCTCAGGAACCATTTAACAGAACGACTTTATATTGTGTCAGCAGCTTTATAGTGATGAATTGCAATGTGTGAGCACTTTTCGGATCTGTCTGACACTACTTCCTGTTTACCAATACTTTGAATATAACAATAAGGAATGAACTTTAAAATATTTATCAGACATTTCTCCAGTACTTCTTTACACAATGATTTATATTTGGTCTGCAGCTTGGCCGTAATGAGTTGTATTTGGTCTGCAGCTTGGCCATAATGAGTTGTATTTGGTCTGCAGCTTGGCCGTAATGAGTTGTATTTGGTCTGCAGCTTGGCCGTAATGAGTTGTATTTGGTCTGCAGCTTGGCCGTAATGAGTTGTATTTGGTCTGCAGCTTGGCCGTAATGAGTTGTATTTGGTCTGCAGCTTGGCCGTAATGATTTATATTTGGTCTGCAGCTTGGCCGTAATGATTTATATTTGGTCTGCAGCTTGGCCGTAATGAATTGTATTTGGTCTGCAGCTTGGCCGTAATGTATTTGGTCTGCAGCTTGGCCGTAATGAGTTGTATTTGGTACCTACTGCCTATTTTCCTATACTTTGAATTTTTTAACAAGTTTTATGTAAAGAGAAAATAAAGTTCACAATGTAAAGAAAACCTCTGCAGTGAATAATATTTTGGCTTTTGTAAAATATTTTTATTTTGGATGATCTGAAATTATTTAAACCAAAGAAAAAAAATTTTTTGAACTGCTTGCTTATTAAAACAAGTGATGACGACAAAATCATGATCATGTTTATAAAACTTCGGCTCAGTTATAATGGCTGTAAGTCCATTTCAACTATTCTAATTGCCTTCTTTTAATATTGAGAATGATGCATAGACCAACACAATTTAATAATAAAAAAGTTATATGTTTTATGGAACTGGGCACAAATACAACATGCACATGATTTACAGTTGCTAGTTAAATTCTTCCAATATATATATATCTTTTATATTGTTCAAATATATTAATTGTATGAAATGACTGTTAAGGGTACATGTCTTTCTGGCAGGTATCATCTGGTATTGACCTCATTTGCATGATTTATTGGTCAATGATAAGTTTTCATAATAATGTTTGACCTATTATAAACCATACTTTTTTCATTTACTATGATCAATTGATCAATTTTTTTTGATGTATGGAAATATGGTAAGATGTACATTGCTGTCTGTCAGGGTTCACCTGAACTTGACTTCATTTTCATGGTTCATTTTCCAATGTTTAGTTTTCCTGCTTAAGTTTGTTTCTTAGATACTGTTAGCAATAGGTCAACTATATTTAGTGTATTGATTGATTATAGATGAACATTTCTGTCTGGCATGTATCATCTGAGCTTAACTTAATGTTCATGGTTCCTTGATCAATGCTTATTGTTCCTGGTTACAATATCACTACAGTCCGATTTATTTTAATACTTAACTCATCTTAAAGTTGGAACATAATTATTTTTTCATCTATAGATAAAGTTTGTATTGGTATAATCAGCTAAAAATATACCTCATTAACTACTACCAAAAAAGAGCTCTACCAATGCAACAAGGATGACAATAGCACTTTCAGGCTAATGATAGTAAATATTTCTTTTATTCCAACATAAATCAAAGAAAAGTCGAAAGGGGTATGAGTAAAGTTTCCATTTTTAATTATTAATAATTATCATGGAAAGTTATTGTGACAAAATGAATACCACCCTTTGAATCACTATAAATTCAATACAAATTTTGAAAAAATGCACTTGGAACTCTCAAGGTGTGTTCTAACACCATCGTTTCATCATCAGAACACCACAGTTTTTGTCGTTTATAAATTCCAACTGTCAATTTTGAATTATTTAAGCATTGTCTATCCCTCAACAACACTAATTTGGAATTCGTTGATTGTTATGACGTCACAGATTTGACAACATCTATAATGTAATAATTATTTATGTCCAAGGCTCCTCCCCTGACCAGACAGTCTTAAATAAGAAAATATCAAGAGTGACCAGTTGTATATAAATATTTAACCCAATTCTCACTATGATATGTTTTATAATATTTAAAAAGAAATATATGGTACAGTGAAATTAAGGAAAACAAAGAAATTAAAAAAAATTCAAGTAAGATGTTTTCATAGAAATACCTTATCAAGACCATTCCCTTCTGTCATGATTTTTGAGGTAAAGGAAATACAAAAATAACTCATCAACACAAAAACTGTTAAAATGACTAAACCTATATACAAATGGTATGATCATCACCTGAATGTCACTTCAGTCTGTTTCTTAGATACTATAAGCAGTAGGTCAACTATATTTGGTGTATTGAATTATTGTAAGGTGTACTTGTCTGTCTTGCATGTATCGTCTCACCTTGACCCTATTTAATTGTTCATTGCTCGATGTTTAGTTTTCTTGGTTTGGTCTGTTTCTTGGATACCATAAGCAACAGGTCAACTGTATTTTTCTGTATTGAAAGATTGTAAAGTGTACATGTCTGTCTTGTAGGGTTTACCTGACCTTGACCTTATTGTCATGGATCATAGATAATGTAAAGTTAATGTAATACTTGTAGTGAAACCTTTATTTTTAAGACTTTCAACAGGATATCAATCATGGTCTGAAAAGCAAGCGAAACATTTCAGTGTGTGCCATCTTGTTTTAATAAGTTATTTCTAAAAATGCTATCTTTCATTTATCCTCTAGAAGCTCCTTAATCATTTGTTAATGAATTCTACCTCATTCAAATATAGGAACAAATTGCAAAGGAATTTAAATAGCACAGATCTAAATGACTCAAGTAGGAAAACAGATTATCTGATGACAAATTGGCATATTTATGTAGGGGGTTCAATTCAGGCTCGATGAACAAATTGGAGACTAAACAAACACAAACTGTCATGTGTTATTTTTCTGTTTTTTTTTATTTTTGATTTTGCACACACTTTTTTTTTATTTCACATATTGCAAAATCAAATTATTCACTTTAAGATTACTAAAGGCATAATTCTTAAATATGATATTCACCATCAAAAAGAAACTAAAGGGATGTCTGACACTTTAAGTTAAAACTATGTAGTGGAAAATCATCATCTTTGCAGCAGAAGGTGAAGTAAAAAGGATAATATGAATACTATGGAATAGTCGCCTGATCTGTAATTTTACCATTGTGTCAAATTTCCAATAGTGAAATTTTGACTGAGTGGTGACACATGCATAGAGTGAAATCTTGCTTCTTTTGGAGATCAAGTGGTTCACGCATTTTTATTTGCTGTCCTAATTTACGAGATTTGAACATCGATAAACTACTGTCGCCTAAACTATAGTAGCCACAAAGTTAAATCGTATATGTAAAAAATTACCATTAATTGTTTCATTTCACAAAGTTAATGGTAACATTTTGAGCAGTAAAATACATCTTGAAATATAAACAAGGGCAGCACATTATTCAATAATACTCATATTTTGCATGATAAAATTCAATGAACAAACAAACAGTATCCAAACATTTGACAGACTAACCATTCATGTCTTCCCTCTCTCTGTTTAGAAAATTGCAGTGCACAGACAACAATACTTTCTGAAAAATTGGAAGATTTAGATGCTGAGATAAAGAAGCGAGAAGAAGACCATATTCCAAAGAATATTCGTGGTAAGAAAGCCAGTTAGGGTCATTGTTAACAGCTTTAGTGCAATAAATCTATATCCAAAGAAAACCAGTTAAAAGAGTTGATGATTATTCAGCTCATCTCATGGCAATCTCCTTTCTGATGACCAATTCCTATTTAAAGTCAAATAAATTTTATTCATTTACGAAAAAAAAAATACAGCAACAATAAAACAACTACATTTTGTGTAGAGTTGTTTCATTGGCAATCATACCACACGTTCTCATTTTTTTCATATGATGTTCTCTGCTGTTATAGAGCCTATTGTATGATGTGTTGGTTTATTTTTAGTTTACTTTTGGACAATTCAGGTTAACTAATGAAATATTCTATGTTCATAAGCATCTACGATTAATACATTGGTGGTGAGAGTTCATTTACAGATACTTAATTTCTGTATACAGATACATTTTAGAGAGACTGACATTCAAATTGTAGATTATATGAGAGTGCAAATGTCCCAAAATGAAATATTGTTTTAAAAGGAATAAGATATGACAATTCATAGGCTTCAATTAAACTATGAATTATCAGTTATATAATGAAAAGAACACTACTATATATAGAATCCAACTACCACCTGACCACCGATTTATATATCTGTGCAAATAGATTCAATTTATCACAGGTGAATTAGTGCTTTCGATTTTAAGGCCTTAAAAACAAAATATGACGATGATGCTGTAATATTTGAAAAATATAATTCACATAATAACAATCTTTTTGTGTTTGCATACATCAGGTAATTACTGATTACCAGCTTAAACCTCAAGCATAGCTAGTATAGAAGGTGTTGTTATGTCTTTAATAGCTTGAAGCATGCCATGTTATTTTTTATAAAAAAATCTTTTATTTGAAAATTCCAATTCCCCTCCCACCTTTTGCAGGTATCTGTTTTAAAAGAGGAAAGTCCTGTGAGAGAGACCCTCTCCCCCCTTTGAAGCTATCTGTTTTAAAAGAAGAAAGTCCTGTGAGAAATAAACTGAATTTTATTACCAGATAATTGATGTTCTGGCTTGGCTCTGCCCTTGTCCTCTTGACAGTCCCCTGCTGCTGTGACTAGCCCCACGATGTCATCATAACCCCTAAGCCTTGAAGTATTGCCAAAGCATTATCATATTACCTGATGGCCTCTTCTTTCGTTTGATTGATGATTGAGATATGGTTTAAATATTTTATCAAATGAAACCACATTCTGCATTAATAAGCAACTGTGATTTTCAACATTTTTGTGAAAAGATAGAGTGCTACATTTATTCTGTATGGAAAAGAATTAATTTAGTTAATTTTGTTACTCTGTAAGAATTGTTGGAATTTTATTGCGGTTGTAACATGGGTATTGAAAAATAAGCAACTTTAACATATGATCTCTTTGATAATGTTTTCTTAATAAGATGGGGTCCTTCCATTTTGACATGTTGAACCTCAGATAACCTTTTAACTCTTTCAAGTTTATGATAGATCTCATTCCTAACCCAGTTTTTTTCTTCTAGAAAGAGAGGGTTTAGAAAACCTTTGTGAAAGTTGTCTACCAAAATAAAGATAATGTGCATTATCAATCAAATATGTGATGGAGCATATCTTTTTATCAGACAATGGCTTATTAAATTTAAGAATAAACAATCTTTTAAATAAAATAATCAGTGTCTTTGACTTTTAGACCTTTGTGATTTTGAATCTTGCAGTTCTAAGTACATCAAGTCGTGTATCCTTTGAAATATCTTGATAAGCATATTTTTGTTAGTATTTGGTTATTTTATGGGGAACAGCGTTTCTCTTTGAGATGATATTGTGTCAGGATTAAAACAAGCATCAGAAATTGAAGAACGGTTATCCTCAGAAGTGCTTGAATCTGAAGACATACCTTCATTGCTCTTTTGCATGTTTATGTTCGCAACCTTTTCTTCTACCAGAAATTGACCTTTCTCTTTGCCAACTTCTGGAGGTCTTCTTATTCCGATTGTGCAGGGGGTCCCAACTGTGAATCCTTTAACTCACCATCCGTAATATTAGACTTGCGATCATTTGTATTATTCATTCCCTGAGTTGGAAAATTAATTTGGCCTTATTTGCCGAATAATGTCCGTCACAATCGCCAAACCATGACTTTCTGAGTCAGAAACATCAACCTTCAGGAGGTCAAAATTAAAAGCCAGACTAGGTATAGCTTTCACTTCCACAAATTTAAAAAAAGTATTAACAGAAATATCCAACTCCAATGTTAATTTAAAAAGGGGAAGTCTAAAAAACTGTCTGTGTGCCATTATCAGATGTGCAAAAACACCTGTAAATAATAAAGAGCTAACATATACTCGCAGTGGTATACACACCTGTTTTCAGTTGATATGCGATTTAATATTTATGACTGTTTTTTCTTTGAATAACTGTTAATTAAGAGTTAGATTGAAAGTTTTGTAATTTCCGGTATTTTCCTTAATATAATTTCCTGTGTATATCTAATTTCTATTCATATATACAAAGGTTATCTCACAATAAGGTGTTAGAATCATCTTCGACGTATATTTTATGCTTCTAAGACTTGTCTCCATGCCATATCCTGATACCAAGATACTTATCATAATCTCACAGAAGGATGTATCTAATTAAAATAGCCTCAAATAAAAAAGTCCTTCTCTGAATTTCTTTGATTATGAATTTATGTTATACATGTACTATTGTTTTTATTAAAAATATGCGTTTAATTAATTCCAACTACAATTGATCATGTTGATGTTTCGTTGAGCAACATTTAGTTTCACATCCATCTTAGAAACTAAGCGATCTTAATTCATTATTAGGATTTACATATGCAAAACGTAGATACATATGCAACTTTTCATTAAATTAGCAAGTAGAAACTGTTTACGCTTCTGGAGTATGAGGATGAAGTCTTGGTTTTCTCATGGGATGCATATTACTGAATTTGAAATTTCTATGTAGTGTTTTGGGGACTATTGATTGTCCCTTTTTTATGTTTTAGGGACCTTGATAATACATTTTAAGTGATATTTCAAAACGTTTACTTTACATTTCCTGCCCTTCTATAGCTTTTGAGTTCAACTTCAGTTTTTTAGGGATTTAAATTTCTCAATCTGTTTAATTTTGTTTTTATTTTGTTAAAAATAATAATAAGCGAAAAGCCTGCACTGCTAACTGATCCTTTTTTATTGAGATAAAATGTTTTAAATTTCAAAAGGTGACCTTAATCTTTGATCTTTAAAATTGAAATCTATTGAATTCTTTCCTTTCTCTATATCTTTCATCTATTCACGTTTCGTATCAAGCCCCAAAAAAGGAAACTAAGTTTGCCATCGAAGATCCAACTAGAAACACATCCGATTTAGTAACAGCGAGCTTGAACGTCAACTAATTGACTCTCAAATCAAGAAGCTTCTTCCCCTTCCCGATAGCACCCTTCTATGCAAGTTTAATTATAATCAATAAATGGAAACTCAAGTAACTATTCGAAAAAAGAACTCTATCTTTGACCATGATTTTAAGCGGATAGGATGGGCGGAAGAGCAGTGCAAAATGTGCACCTATTTTGTGTTATCAACTTCTCCTACAGTTTTCAACCTAGATTCCTTACACTTCACATAAAGGTTACACACTGGTCGAAGTTGTGCACCTGCCTTAACGGAATTAAAGTAGGAATTGTTTTTTTTTGTTGTATTTTTTTCAGATTCTGGGACTTAGTACTTTTTTTAGCAAATTTTATAAAAACAGTACTTGTTTTGGGTAATTTTTCCAAAAATTGTACTTAATTTTGTTGTCAACCCGGATTTATAGAACTTTACCAACCTATTTAGTTTCTTTACCTTCCATTATGGAGTGGTTTAAAGATGTTGCCCATTAATAATTTTTACAGTTTCATGTGATTAAATGTTTCTTATAGACCATGCTCCATTGTTTTTTAAACACTCTGTGCAACCCGGCCATTTTCGTCTTTAATTTATTTTTATTTTGTAATTATATAAATTGCTATTGAATGTTAATCGAGATATTAAAAACAAACAAAATCATTTGAAAATCAATTCGTTTTCTTTACAGCACAACATAATCAAGAAATAAAAGAATGGGAGAATGATGAATCTACTTTTTATAAAACCCAAGCAACACACCACGTGTTGACAGTGTTACATTTAAATCATTACAGTACTACCTGTGACATTATCTTATTAATGGTGGCCATAAAAAATATGGTCACCATGATGGCCCTAAATGTCCATCATTATACCCCCTGCTGCTTAATTAATACACAAGGTATAAATCAAAAACTAGTCAAGGATAAAGAGAAATCATGACTGCATTGAAGTGTTAAAATTACATAACTTACAGGTAAAGTGTCTCAGGGAAAATATATGACTTTTTGTGTTTGTCAAATTTAATAGCTGTGGTTATGACAAGAAAATTCTAAAATAAAATGAAATAATAAAACTAGTTGACCATAGAGCTTCCTAACTTTTTTTTGTAAAAATTTTCTCATGACTGTTTGCAAATGTTTGTTTCGATGTTATAACTTTTAAATAATTCTATCAATTTAAGTTATTTTTTACATGTATTTTTTGGCAAGTGAATAATAAATGAATATCATCTTCTAATATAATGCAAACTTTCACAACGCCTGCCTTTTTCCATTGAAAAAGTGTTTCTCAAATTAATTTTCTAAAATCAAAATTGTTTATACTTACTGCATTTAACATTGTTTAACAAATGTTTAAGATTATCTTTAGGACTTATTCTAAATAAAATTTAGGCAATTCATTATTTCTCTATTGAATAAATACATGTATATTCATTATATTCATGATATTCATTACAGAAAAATTTGCTAATTTTTTTATTGTCATATAAACATATTACAATTTAATCAAGTTTCTGACAAAAACAAACCCAAAACAAACTTTATAATGCAAAGAAATAACAATTCTATAGTATAAGAAATCAAAACACATGGAAAAAGGTTATATTAGGTTTATGCCCTCAGTTTTATTGACTTTCTATGTTATAGAGGTTTAGCATTTCTTTTACTTTTTGTTCTTGGTTAAGATTTTATTCATAAGATTCAAGATTTTATTCATAAACTGGTCAGAGACATTATTATGAGAAGGTAAACAATTTTCAAATAGATTATCTCTAAGTTATGTTAATTTTACAAACAATTCTATCCTTTATAGGAGTTGTTATTCACCAATTCTATTTCTAAATTATGACCACTTATTCTTTACTTAGTGAAGCATTTGAGTTTACTGTTTTCATCATAAAATTTATTTTATTTTCAAAAATATTCTTATTTTTTTTCTTAAAATTCATTTTTAATCAAGGGCTTTAAAGAATCTAATTCATTCAAGTCCCTGCAATTATTAACTTTATCTAAAAGGCCTGAGTTGAGTGAAATATTCTTTGCAAATGTATACCAAGAATATGTATCATGCATATGCCAGTCCTGCAGTTTCGACAATATAATACACAGAACAAAAAGTGATTTAATTAATAGACCATAAAAATGTCACAATCTATATAGAAGTGTACTTTATTTTTTCTGGAGACAAAACTTGCCTGTTAACTGACAAAATTAGCCAAACTGAAGATAACATATTTGATAAGTTTACAATTGTTTCAAAAAGCAAGACAATTTATTCTTTAAATAATCTCTTTGTAAGTCTCTTTAGTGATTTTTGATGCAAAACTCGTTTTGAGATTTGAAAAATATCAAAGATAAACAAAAATAGTTTATTCCTATACCATATAATGATATTTGTAGTTTTCCGGAATAATAATCATGATAATAGATTGTACAACTTTGTTAACAAAATTTATTATAAAAGGGTTGATATTCATGATATTGATAATTTAAATTTGTGAATAAACTGGCTTGTTAAATTACTTGCTTCATGGTTCCTTTAAACATATCATTTGCATGATTATAAGTTATAATTAATAATAATGCATTTAATAATGCAAACGAACAATAGAATACCATGTACATCATGTATAATAACTTTTTTTTTACTGAAAAAATAATTATTTAAAGGATTCTCTCTTTTGTTTTCAAATGCTAGTCAATAACTTATATTTTAATTTTTGTCATTTCTACTCAAGATTCTTTCCAAGAGGAAATTAAAAGAATAAGAAGCAAAAAAACAAATAAAATTATAATAACATAAAAAAATAAAAGCATTAGAAAAAAAGGAAAATATGTAAATTTAAAGACAGAAAAATCAACAAATGATATGAATTAACAAAGACTAAAACAAACATTCTATTCTACATTTTCAAGAAAAGGTAAAATGTCAATTTGAGAAGAAACCTGAGTTACATGTACCTGTACAGGTAAATTTTAATGAAACATACAAGCTGAAAACTTCAACCCTGATTGATTTCAACAGGTAACATAATTAGATAAATCATCAACCTATGTTTTATGACCCCAATAAATGGCCAACATCTCAAGATTGAATACCTCAATAAATGGCCACCATTTGATGGTGACCATACAAGAGGGTGGACATAACTAAGAGGAAGTCACAGGTTGTACTGTATATTATTGTCAAAGGGAGCGCAGGTTGTGGTAAATCTTCAAATATACATCATGCTGCCTTACACTTACGTAACAATTTTGGATATGAGATAATAACTGTTTTAACAGGATCAACAGACATTTTGAATTATTATAATGAAAACAAGAAAAAAGCGTTTGTTGTGGACGACATTAGTGGAAAGGAATCTATCAATTTACAGACATTACAGATGTGGATAGATTATTCTGAAAGATTGGAGAAAATATTTAAGATCAATAATACATATGATGTCAATGTCTCAGAAATATTAGGTTCAAAACTGTTAGTTTCTTGTAGATTACATATATATAAAGAACCCCAGTTCCAACTATTAAAGTTTCTTACAAGGCAAGAATGCAATTTATTGTCACCAGCATTTGTTCTTCTACAAGAGGAGAAAATATATATGGTGAAAAAATACCTGCCAGATGATATAATAGTTAATGTAATGAAATTCGAGGAGAACAATGATTTTTTTCCATTGCTTTGCAAATTGTCAAAAGACAACACATGAGAAGAAGTCATTAAACTTTTCACAGCTCCTGTGAACAGCATTAGAAAAAAACATAAGCCACATTGTTCTTGAGAACAAGGTACAGTTTTGTGCTCTTGTTTTATGTATATTGTATGATGATGGATTCAATACAGATTGGCTTAATTTGAAATCACTGTCAGTGAAAAAGAAGGACAAACTTGAAGATATTGTTAACGAATTTGACATAAACTTATCTAAAGAAATATCAAGAAATGCTTTAAAATCTTGTTTTATAGTTTTAAATGGTACATATTTTGAGCAAATTGGTACAAAGTACAGAATGATACATGATAAAATCTATAAAATTGCAGCTGTAATCTGTGGACAGCACCTTACAGAATGTTTTATAAAATATATTCCTTCCATATTTATTCGTGACCTTTTCATCTTTGAATCTATTTTGAATGTACCAGTTAATAATGATGTAATAATACTATCGAAAGAAAAAGAAGAAGAGTATTTTGAAAGATTGTTAACTGACTTAAAAGAATTTATCATCATAAGTACTTTTCATAATAAACAATTGATATCTCAGGCATTTAGAGACAGGTTAATATATTTTTTTAGTAGGAGTGATGATGCAAAAACATTTTTAAAGGAGTTTGATAAAGAAGGTTTATATACAACACCTGTGATAGAATCAGCATCAGGAGGTTACCTTGATTTGGTCCATTTTTTGATTGTAGATGTAAAATGTGATATAAATAAGACTGATGGAAACTGCAGGTCAGTTATATATAAGGCGTCTGAAGGAGGACATACAGATGTAGTCAAATTATTACTTCAAAACAATGCTGATGTCTCGCAGTGTAACTTTAGTAGACAGTTTCCATTGCATGCTGCATGTAAAGGAGGGCATATAGATGTAGTTAAGTTATTGCTGCAGGAAAATACTGATGTTTCGCGGTGTAACCATTTAAAACAGTCTCCGTTGTATGTAGCATGCAGAGGAGGACATACAGATATAGTGAAACTACTACTCCAGGACACTGTTGATGTCTTGAAATGTGATCATTTTAGAGAATCTCCGTTGTACGTAGCATGTGAACAAGGACATACAGCTATAGTGAACTTGTTACTACAGAATAATGCAGATGTTTCAGAGTGTAACTCTTCTAATGTTCTCCTTTGTATGTTGCATGTGAAGGAGGGCATATATATATAGTGAAACTTTTACTTCATAACAGTTCTGATGTATTTCTGTATAGCAATAATGGACAGTCTCCATTGTATATGGCCTGTGGTGGAGGCCATACAGATATCGTGAAAATGTTGCTGCAACTGAACGCTGATGTGTCTCAATGTAATAAGGATGGAAAGTCCCCATTGTATGCAGCATGTGAAGGAGGATATCAAGATATAGTTAAACTGTTGCTGCAAAAAAATGCGGATGTATCTCAGTCTGACAGTTATAGACAATCTTCTTTGTATGTGTCATGTAGAAAAGGACATACAGGTATTGTCAAAATGCTGCTGCAGAACAATGCCTTTAATTCTGTGGAGCACAGTTTGGGATGGTGTCTATCAAATATGTTGCATGTGGCATGTGAGGGAGGGCATACAAATATAGTAAAACTGCTACTTCAGAACAATTCAAATGTATCTGTGCGTGATATACATGGAGAGTCTCCATTGTTTGCTGCCTGTAAAGGAGGACATTTCAAAACAGTGAAACTTTTACTGCAGAATAGTGCTGAAGTGTCTAGATGGAACAATAATCAAGAGACTCCGTTGTATGTTGCCTGTAGAGGAGGACATACAGAAACAGTAAAACTGTTGCTGCAAAACAATGCTGATATATCTCAGTGTAATACAGAGGATGAGTCTCCGCTGTATGTTGCCTGTGAAGGAATGCATATAGATACCATAAAACTGTTACTACAGCACAATGCTGATGTGTCTCAGTGTGATCGTAACTATGGACAGTCGCTTTTACATGTGATATGTGGAAGTAATTTATATAAATACGGTCAACCACTTAAAGATGCATATGAATATAAGTGGAAGAAGTATTCAGATCGTATTGAAATTGTAAAATTATTAATTGCATGGAACGCAGATGTTCAAATGTGTAATAACAATGATGAAACACCAATATGTGTAGCCTGGAACGCAGCCTTTTGTGAAATTGAAAATATTCTTGTTTGGTCAATAAAGAACTAGAGGATTATAGGTACACTGTAAGAAGTGATAAGATGTAACTTTAAGTCATTAATAGCACTGAGTTTTTCAAGCTTATAGAGGTACCAGGGTCAAAATGAGTTTTTTTGCATTTTTACATAGATTCAAAACACCCTGACAAGTTATTTTGCTAGATTCTGCAAAATGCCAGAATTATGGTCATTTTTGTTACTTTAGATTTTTTTAATATTTATTTTTCACAGGCATTTCATCTAAAAAAATTTTACCATTCGATTGCCATAGCAAGAATGTACCGAAATCTGCAATCTAAATAATAATTTGAAATCCAAAAGAAACTGCTATCAATTTCAATAGATTTCTAAGGGGAAAAAAATTCAAATAATATCACCAAAAAATAAAACTAGGTACTTTACAATTTTAATCATTGTTATATCTCATTTTGAAAAAAAAAAAATGGGCACCTCAAATGTTTTTAGGTTTTCTGTACATTTAAATCCCAGATTGATGCAGTAAAATTGGCTCTATTTAATGTTTTTATCTACTTATCTATCATTTCTATGGGAAGTTTTTTTTTTTCTATTTGTTTTGGTCATTCAGAAAATAGTTGTTTATGCTTTCTGCTAAATGTAATTATCAAATATAATTTTAGAATTGTACTGAATTGTTCTTTTTTCAAGTTCATTGTTTTTAGCAGTACGCCGACTTTATTTGGTGTATGGAATGACTGTTAGGTTTATATGTCTATCTGGTAGGGTTCATCTGACCTTGACCTCATTTTCATGGTTCATTGGTCAATTTTCCATTTTCCTAATTAGGTCTTTTTCTCGGATACAATAAGCAATACGTTAGCTATATTTGGTATCCTGTATGATTGTAAATTGTACATGTCTGTCTGGCAGGGTTTCGTATTACCTTGACCTCATTTATAATTATCATTGATAATGTTAATTTATTTTGAAAGTTAAAGTAAAACCTTCATACATGTATTACCCACTTTCAACATAAATTCAAACGTGAAAAGTAAAGCAGGCGAGACATTTAAGCGAGTGAACTCTTTTTTATATATATAAAGAAACCAAGGCTCCACCTCCTTAAGGCAAAGAAAAAGAACAAAGTTGAAAACTGATGTAATGTATCATTAATTACATATTATCATCCTCAAGCAGAAAACTCCAAAAGTATTCAGGAAATACTGGCATCTTATTAAAACAGATTCTACAATAGGTGCCAGATTCAATAAAAGCCTCTCAATATGATTCAAAAGAAATAGAAACATTTGTGAATTAGTGAAACGAGCCATGACATAATTTGTGTAAACCTCACAGTTCCTACTAAATATTAAAACTGTGCAGAACTAATATATGACCATCATGTAAATCACACATGTATACTAATATTCTTATGACAAAACTTTCTTACCATGAAAGACTTAATTCAACATTCATTGAAATACATTGAAATAGTTTGAAAAACCAAAAATCCTAAGTCAAATTCAAATTAACAAAACAAACAAAAAAATCAAAAAACTATTTAAAAAGATTAAAACAGTTTCCCATTTCTCGGCAGTAACATACCCTCTCCCCCATCGTATGGTTTTTACATATCTCAGTTGATACGTTATGCTCGTGCATGTTCACACTATACGGACTTCATATACAGGAGTGTGCTCCTAACGCAGAAACTGCTCCAACAAAGTTATGTGGAGGACAGATTAAAAATGACACTCCGTAAATTTTACGGACACCATCACAAATTGGTCGATCCATACGATGTGTCTTTGTCCTAACTAACTAAGGACATTTTTACCACGTGTTAGATTGTGGTTTGACATTACGTCGTCTGATCTTTTAATTACCGAACGTGACTTATTCCCGATTGTGACTGTTTTGCTGAGTGTGAATTCGCATTGCTATAAGACGTGTCACGGTACCTTTCTATCCAAAATTCATGTAGTTAGTTTTGATGTTATATTTGTTATTCTCATCGGATTTTGTCAAATGTCTTATCGTTTGTAGTTGTAAATCTTATTTTTTTCTGTTGTATTCGTGTGTTATGGTAAAGATTATTAATCACCCTGTTCGTTAATTAGATTTTAGTTTGGTCAACTAAATTTATACGATATATTTGGTTTACAGTTAGATTTAGAAGAAACACCGACATAGCTAGATAATACTATTAATTATCTTATTACTACCACATTTTATATTAATTAGTACTGTAATTTTCATTGTTATTGATAAATGTTATAAGTATTATAAACCAAATCTTAAATTCTATCCTAATTCTATCCTATTTTGGGGAAATTTCAGAAATTCAAATGTGACGTCACCCTTTTTAAGCGTTGATCTCTTTGGCTAACTCGGCTGTGAATTTTTATGTGCTGGTTTATGTTGTTTTATGTATCCGTTTTTATTCTGTAGTTAGTCACCACTTCGGTGTCATCATGTATATCTATAATATAGTCATTTTTATAAATTTACTGTTTACAAAAGTATGAATTATTCTAAATACTAAGGATTTTCTTATCCCAGACATATAACCTTAGCCGTATTTGGCACAACTTTTTGGAACTTTTGGTCCTCAATGCTCTTCAACTTTGTACTTGTTTTGGCTTTCGTATTTTTTTGATCTGAGCGTCACTGGTTAGTCTTGTGTGGACGAAACGCGCGTCTTGCGTATTAAATCTTAAATCTGGTACCTTTTGTTAGCTTTTATTCGTATGTTTCTCCGTCCTATATATTCTCCCATTTATTTGTATTGTAGTCCTGTCATGTAATGTTGTCATTTTAATGTTATATTTAACATTGCCATTAAAGCGGGTGGTTTGGCTAGCCACAAAACCAGGTTCAACCCACCATTTTTTTCTTAAAATGTCCTGTACCAAGTCAGGAAAATGGCCATTGTTATATTATAGTTCGTTTCTGTGTGTGTTACATTTTACTGGTGTGTTTCTGTTGTGTCGTAGTTCTCCTCTTATATTTGTTGTGTTTCCCTCAGTTTTAGTTTGTAACCCGGATTTGTTTTTTTCTCAATCGATTTATCAATTGCGAACAGGGGTATACTACTGTTGCCTTTATTTATGGAAGCAATCATGAGTTGGTTGACCGTTATGGAATATTTATTTCATACAGGACGACGGACATGGTTCAATTGTCGTAATTACAGTTCTATCCTTTTTTCCTCAAGTGTGACATTACTGAATGAGAATTATAACTGAATTTGTACTCTAATAAAAAAACACGACAGGTGTCAAATAAGCACTTGAGATCATCCCAGTTTTTGATGAGGTTCGTGTTGTTCAGTATTTGTTTTTGTTGCTGTGTTTTGTAGAATGGTGTTGTCTTTACGTTGTGTTTTCCTTTTTACCATGGCGTTGCCGGTTTGTTTTCGACTTACAAAAAAAATGACTTATGAGATTAAATATCAACTCTTTGAAAAAGCTTATTCAAAACTTCTAATAGAATTTTTTATTTAGTTTTAGACTGAACATAATTTTTAACACTTAATTTCTATTAGACTCCTTAAAGTAGTGCAATGTCATCATTTAACGTGTCTGCCTATAAACTATAACAAATGATTCTAAAAGTCAACACTAGATCACCAAAACCCGATATGACTTAAACCATAAATTGACATCTTATAGGTGGTATTGCTATCAATTTACCTCAATTTCTTATTATTAATATTCTCAAAACTATTATAGATACATGTATAAAGATAATACATACATTATAAACAATACCAAGTGTTTATTTAAGTCACCTCAAGGGTAACTGGGGAATAAAGATATGGTAACTTTGGTCTTCAACCGACCAGCAGCAAAACCTTTTGCCAAAGATTAAACACAAAGTTTGTTTTCTAATAAACTGTGAAATCATTTATTTCTTTTATGGTGTAAACTTTCATGGTTTGGTAAGATTTTGCTAGCTTTTTATTTTTTATAGTTTTTTCTTATTTTACCGATCAAAGCAACAAAAAATTAATATTTTCTCACTTATTTGAATAAGCGATTTCCCCTTTTCCTTGTAATATATGAAAATATTAATAAACCTACAGTGTGTTTACAAAATGCTACAAATATGGGGATTCCTGTCTGTAAGAATTGTGTGAGATATAAGATGATTGCCATTTTAAAAATAAGAAAGTGTGGTATAATAGCCAATGCGACAACTCTCCACAAGAGACTAAATGACACAGAAATGACCAAACTATAGGTCACCGTACGTCCTTCAACAATGAACAAAGCCCATACCGCATAGTCAGCTAAAAAAGGCCCCGAAATGACGAAACAGTTCAAACTAGAAAGCTAACAGTCTGATTTATGTACAAAATAATGAACAAAAAACAAATATTATATACAGGAACCAACGACAACCAAGGAATTACAGGCTCCTGACTTAGGCCAGGCACATACAGAATGTGGCGGGGTTGAACTAGTTTGCTGACGCCAAACCATCCCCCTAACCTGGACAATGGCGCAACAGCACAACACAAGAACAAACTATACAAAACAATAAATGAAAAACAAATATAAGAAACAGCAGTAAACAACAATCACTAACTTGCAGGCTCCTGAATTGGGACATGCACATACAGAATGTGGTGAGGTTAAACTAGTTTGAAGGCGCCAAACCTCTCCTAACCTGTGACAGTGGTGTAACAGTACAACATAAGAACAAACTGTTTTTTGTTTTATGAATCCATGTATTGCAAGAGTTATACAAACTCCCTTTTGAACCTGCAAGTTTTATTCAAGTTATCAAGAATTCTAAAAAGGGAGTGACTCATACAATAAATGCAGTAGTTTAATATATTGTGTACAACTATAGATTTAGATTGAAATTTCATCATATATTTCACAGGCAATTGAATGATTAGATGGGCAACTAATGAAACAGGATTGTGATCGTATGAAAATCAAACCATTAGATCAAACCAACCATGAAATAATGATGAACATCAAGCATTCTAATAATGAAATACGGGAGCTTAAAGAATCAATTGCAAGTATAAAGCAGTCACATACTGAAATGATTCAATCTCATGAATCACTTCAACAAAACCATGCAGTTTTAAAAATGGAAATGGAAGAAATAAAAATCTCTCAGAAGGATACAATACCGTGGAAAATTAGAGGTAAACAGTTGGTTTTAAGTGACCTATAGTTCATCTGCTCCTGCAATTTATTAAGAGATCAGATTTTAAATTGATTCCTTGTAATTGGATAACCATCTCTTTATTGTCTCGCCTGTGACGAAATTCGCAGAGTACAAGACATATGGATTACAATCAGGCGGTGGCGACGATGCTGTAAACTATTAGAATAAAGCTTTATAATTCAGAAGATAGAAGACTTGGATGCTTCATAAATTGTATGCAGATACCTTATTTTACAAAGTTTTCTTTTATCATATGTCCGTTGTTCTTGGCCTCATTGTCATGATTCAGTGAATGCTCTAAAAT